GGTACTTGGACCCTTAGGGACTCTTTACTTCCGAGAGATTGCTAGATGCTAACGGCGTAGTGCGTAAGGTATGCACGGGGTTGGCAAAATGATCATGATTACAGTTTCCGGGCTCATGTTCATGCTTGTGTAGGGTTACTGAAGCAACTTGAATACTCGTCGGCACTAGGCGCCCAGGATGTACAGGAGTAGGGATTCTGTACCCACTGCTTGAGGCCTCCCAACATTTAAGACTGCAAAAGAACAGTTGTGCGACAGGGCACAAATCTCGCGACATGTTGTGCCGGATGCTTCATCCACCACTGACAACCACCTTAGCTGAAGGCGTGGTGCTCAGAACCGGACATGAATTGTACGTGCAAATAGCCTACCACAATGCCGTAGACCACCATGGGCTATTAGACCCTAAAATTCCCCATTAGGACCCTATTAAGGGTAGATTAAGGTACCCTTAAGGTCTAATAGCCCATAGTGGGACGTAGACAATAACATCTAAAGCCAGCACGTAGCCCATGTTTGTTGACTTGCTCACCAGACCTAGTGAATTGGCATATGCTCTGTTGCAGCCTGCTTAACCAATCCCTAACCGATGATTTCACTAACCACCCACTCACTAAATCCCCCCAGCGTCCAGGCACCTAGGGATACTACTTCGGTGTAAGCTCCCACATAACTGTCCGAGAATTGCAGATCAAACGACTGCACGGTCCTCAAAATTGGGTGTAGTAATGGCCCACACTAGTCAAAGGCCAGTATTTCACATACTTCTGGGGCAAGGGTAGGGCTTAGAGGCTTGATCCTTCATGGTCCCTCGGGCATGTTCATCGTTTGCGGGGCAAGAAACTGCCCGCAGCAGTCCTTTTTGGGGACCTATAGTCCTCCTTAAGTGGATAGAATATGGGGTATATGGGGATCTCACTATAATATACCGAAGCCATATTCTATCTAATTGAGGGGACTATATACTTTTGCGCTCAGGATTTGCAATTCAGCTCTGCAAACCCTAAACCCTAAACACTAGTGCTCGGGAGCGATGAACCTCTGCAAGGCCATGCCGTCGAAGGATAAGTAGGGCCATAAAGGGTTGAGGGTCTGGTTTTCAATTAGGGTTTAAGCTCTAGGGTTTCCGGTTTAGAGCTTAAGGTTAGAATTTAGGGTTTAGGGTATAGGCGCCAGTGGTAATAGTTGCAAAGTTGCCTGAGCCTCGAAGAGCGTAGCTTTTCAATTAAGTAGATGGAGATAGTCCCTACGCACGCTATACCCTAAAACTGAACTTACAAGGGACCCTTGTACCCACCTCATGATCACATATTTCTTCAGGCTTCGTACGGGGACGTCGGGTTCAGGGCTTAGGGCTGATGAACATAGAGTTTAGAGTTTAGGGTTAGGGGTGTAGGGTTTGGGGCTTCAGGTTTAGGATTTAAGGTTTAGGGTTTGCGGTTGGAGTGACCACCATTCAAAATCTCTTGCCCTGCATAACCCCTTCAAGTAATGGTGAGCACCAAGAAGCCTCCTTCGCATTAAGCGGCTATCCCAGCTTGGTTCAGAGTCTGGGATCCCGTTCCCTGAACCGTAAACCCTGAGCCCTGAGCATCTGAACCCTTAACCCCGAACCAAAAGCCTTAACCCGGAGCCCTGAACAGTAAACCCTGAACTAGCAAACCTTATTTCCAAGAAACCTCAGCAGCTTCCTCCCATAAACTTACCTTTGGTGAGCTAGGAATGAAGGAATGGATCCGTACAGTAGTCGCGAAATAACACCAGAAAAGTAGTTTCCATTTTCTTTTCCATTACATCATTCCCAGCTGACCAAAGGCCAGAAAAAGAATTTGGAGGCTGCAGAATTTCAAGCCTGAAGTCTAGTGTTTGGGATTCAGTAAAGGGACTTTAGTGGGAACCCCAAAGAGGGAACCCAAAGAACATAGTAGGAAATAATAGGAATATGCCTACCAAGGTCCTTATAGTCTACGATATTCCTACTATATTCTTGGGGTTCCCTGTTTGGGTTCTCATTAGAACCCTTTTATTCAGGGTTGTGTGGAGGCGTTGGGCCGCAATGTCTGAAACCGACAGCTGGTACGTGGTTTACGGTTTAGGGTCAATGCTCCAGATTTCTTGGTTTGTAAGTCTCGGGCATTGCGCGCATGTATTGTACCACCCTGCAACTGCAAGAAACAAAGCTCTGAAAGCGACAGAAACCCAAACCTCAGTCTCTAAGCCCTGCACGTCAAAGAGCAGACAAGGACCCCTAAACCCTACGCAAGAAACGCACACGGTTTAGGTTTCAGTGACACACTAGGGACTTTAAACAACAAACCTTGTAAATTGCAAAGAACGGCATCTAGGCCCCTAACCATATCAACCCTGCATTATCTAGACCTCGACACCCAACCATTTTTTAGGGTAGCTAACTTTGTATATAGGAGATACCAGACATAAAGTTAGGTACCCTTAAACAAAGGTAGGCTATAGAGGCCCAAGCCTCGAACTCTAAACCCTAAACCCGGGCTATTCTTATCAGCCCCCCAGGTCCGCTCCGAAACCCCAGATCACGCCGTTTAGGGTTTATAGGGTTTAGGGCAGTTTAGGAGAGGTCAGGGTTGAGTTTGGGGGGTCGGATGTAGGGTTCAGAGTTTAGGGTTTAGGGTTCAGAGTTTAGGTTTTGGGGTTTATAAAGGTTAGGCTATAGAGTTTGGGATTTAGGGCTTCGCACTCCGACGCTCCAAGAACCCACATAAGATACACCAAACTACAGAATAGGGTTCAGGGTTTAGGTTTTAGGGATCTGAAGCCCAAGCAGAAGAGACGAAGCCGCGAGAAGCTTTGAGACATGGTAAAACATTGCTCAAACATACACATATAGACCCCGACCCTTCCCCCTCATGCTTAGAGTACAGATCAAATAATAACATACTCCTTCCTAAATATACTGTACACTACACGTGCTATTGCCGAAAGAACCCTTTACCCTCTGTATAACCCAAAACCCGAAGCCCCAACAGAAAATATGGCGGATATAAGGCAAAAGCACCAGCAGCAACTGGGTGGAGACCCTATACAATCTGTATCAACCCTAAACTGTGCGTAATTGGAGGGTCTGCTTATAACTGGGGCCATAACAAATACTTCCGCTTATACGTGGAGGTAACCCCTGTACGGCCAGTTCGGGCGACTATATATATCTATACCTATATATATATATACATATATGTATATATGGTTCTACCCTAATGCTCTTTTGGATCTC